AAATATTCAGGGTAAGATTGTTAAATTAGGTCTTTATTGGGAAGGTTAAAGAGTCAACTTCTAATTTGTAACTTCTACTGCAAAAATGTACAAACAAAAGGAAAATGATAACATACAGGAACGATGACACCCTCCTCAGTGATGCAATCACAGTCGGTTGGCTTGACGCATGTGTAGAGATCCTTTCTGATGTAGCCAGGTGGACAAGCTGGACACCTGCCACATGTGGGCACGCATGCGTTAGGGTCGTTCCTGTCACACTGAGTGATCTTGTGACGGTAGCAGTGGCAGGTCTCGTGACACTTGAAGGAGCAGCCATACACCTTCTTTACACACTCAGCTGGAGAGGAAAAGAGATTGAGGTGATACTATTCCATCTTAATAGTAAAATTCATGACTGGGAGTTAACATGGCGAATTTTTTAGTTAATATTGAAACAATGACGGTCATGCTTTTTATCTCACTACAAGACGGAAACTGCAGCTTTTAAGCATTTTCCTTCTTAGTCTTCTTAAAGCTGAGATGTGCTTCCAAAGGAAAATGTTTTTGAAAGATAATAAATGGATTGCCCATGGTCAAGCAACTTTAGAATTGGTCGAAAATTTCTTTGGTACGACTCAGTACGACATCCCCATAAATACATTCAAGAGTCAATACTAACTTGTGACCGTGGTGTATGTAGGTCTTGTAGTCCATTGAGGCTTGGTTGTGGTCTCTGGGTAGGTCTTCTCTGGCTCAGTAACCTCGGGCTTGGTGGTCTCTGGGTAGGTCCTCTCTGGCTCGGTAACCACTGGCCTGGTGGTAGTCACCTGAGATGTAACTGTGGTTGTTCCTGTATTGCAACAATTTGTAAAGTCTAAGGAATTGCAAACAACATATACAACTACCAAATATTACTGTGCTTACCATTCCAACACTTTCTTGACTAATTCAATTTTAAAACACAGCAAACTTTAAGGTAAACATCCAGTAACTGAAAATGATTTCTTGCCTGGTGTTGTAACCTTACGAGGTGTGCGATATGTAGTTGTTTCTGGGTAGGTCTTCTCTGGCTCAGTAACCTCAGGCTTGGTTGTCTCAGGGTAGGTCTTCTCTGGCTCAGTAACCTCAGGCTTGGTGGTCTCAGGGTAGGTCCTCTCTGGCTCGGTAACCTCTGGCCTGGTGGTCTCAGGGTAGGTCCTCTCTGGCCTGGTTGTCTCAGGATAAGTCCTCTCTGGCCTGGTAGTTTCTGGGTAGGTCCTCTCTGGCTTGGTGGTCTCAGGATAGGTCTTCTCTGGCCTTGTTGTCTCAGGGTATGTCTTTTCTGGCCTGGTAGTGTAGGTCTCTGATGTGGTGGTCCCTGGAGTTGTGACCTTTCTTGGTGTCTTGTATGTTGTAGTCTGTACTGTTGTTGTCGTTGTACCAACAGAAGTGGTCTCTGGTGTAGCCACAGTTGTGGTGATCTCAGGCTTAGTGCACATGTCGCGGCAAGTAAGGACGTTGTTGTAGCACTCACACACTCGGCACTCACCAATCTTCTTTGTTGTACCAGCCTATGGGATGATCATGAACATTTTATAGTAACTGTTAAACTGTGGGATTTTTTTTTTAAGTTACAAAAAGCAAAGTAAGAAGAAAACAAAGAACATACAAAGAACATAAAGAAACTTTTATAGTCTATTCTATTGATGTAAAACTAGCCATTACTTGTTCTATCAAACTCTACTTATCCATGCTGTGTATTGATGTTTTGATTAATATGGTATCATTTATCCTTTTATTGAACTCTTAAACTAACACGTGATAATCAAACATGCCCTGCTATTTTTCTGCAATCAGTCACTGTGGTTGAACTAATATTTCAACAATGAATGTAAAAAAATAAGTTTGTCAGAACCTTTGCAGTGTAAATTGTAGGAGTAAATGAAATATTAAAACTACTTCTGGGCAAACAGTATGTTACATGCAATAATCCTTCCTACCGGAATAATAACACCATCTGCTGTTATGCAGGGGCAGTCTGTTGGCTTCACACAACGGTTCCTGTCCACACGAACGTATCCCTTGGGACAAGGTGGACACTCGCCACATGTTGGGACACATGAAGAAGCATCACCAAACACACACTGGGTGATCTTGAACCTGTAGCAGTGGCAGGTCTCCTCACACTTGAAGGAACATCCATACACCTTCTTGGCACACTCAGCTAAGATAAAGTGAGCAAAAAAAGTTGATCAAATCTTGGGTTTCTTGACAAATAAATTTCATTATTATTATGTTAAATCAACACTGTGTAACTTATTAAAAGTGAATCAAGTAAAGGTAAAAATATGAAACGTTTTAAAATTCATAGAGGTCAATGTACACGAAGTAAACCCAAATACTCACTGGTCACTTCTGTTGTGATCCACGAGCTTGTAGAAGTCAACTGTGTAGTTGTGGGCTCAGTAACCTCAGGTTTGGTGGTTTCTGGGTAGGTCTTCTCTGGCTTGGTGGTCTCAAGTGAAGTTGTAGCTCCTGGGGTTGTGACCTTCCTTGTAGGCTTGGTGGTCTCAGGGTAGGTCTTCTCTGGCCTTGTTGTCTCAGGGTATGTCCTCTCTGGCCTTGTGGTCTCAGGGTAGGTCCTCTCTGGCCTGGTTGTCTCAGGGTAGGTCCTCTCCGGCCTAGTAGTCTCAGGGTAAGTCTTCTCTGGCCTAGTGGTCTCAGGGTAGGTCTGTTCTGGCCTGGTGGTCTCAGGGTAGGTCTGCTCTGGCCTTGTGGTCTCAGGATAGGTCTGTTCTGGCCTGGTGGTCTCAGGGTAAGTCTTCTCTGGCTTGGTCGTCTCAGGGTAGGTCCTCTCTGGCCTGGTGGTCTCAGGGTAGGTCCTCTCCGGCCTGGTAGTCTCAGGGTAAGTCTTTTCTGGCCTAGTGGTCTCAGGGTAGGTCTGTTCTGGCCTGGTGGTCTCAGGGTAAGTCTTCTCCGGCCTGGTGGTCTCAGGGTATGTCCTCTCTGGCCTTGTGGTCTCAGGATAGGTCTGTTCTGGCCTGGTGGTCTCAGGGTAAGTCTTCTCCGGCCTGGTGGTCTCAGGGTAGGTCTTCTCCGGCCTGGTGGTCTCTGGATATGTCTTCTCCGGCCTGGTGGTGTATGTCTCTGGAGTTGTCGTAGTAGAGGGTGTTGTCACCTTCCTGGGTGTTTTGTATGTTGTTGTTTCAGTCTCTGGCCTGGTGGTCTCAGGGTAGGTCTTCTCTGGCCTGGTAGTCTCAGGGTAGGTCTTCTCTGGCCTTGTGGTCTCAGGGTAGGTCTTCTCTGGCCTTGTGGTCTCAGGGTAGGTCTTCTCTGGCCTGGTGGTCTCTGGGTATGTCTTCTCTGGCTTGGTGGTCTCTGGGTAGGTCTTCTCTGGCCTTGTCGTCTCTGGGTAGGTCTGTTCTGGCTTGGTGGTCTCTGGGTAGGTCTGTTCTGGCCTGGTGGTCTCTGGGTAGGTCTGTTCTGGCCTTGTGGTCTCAGGGTAGGTCTTCTCAGGTCTGGTGGTCTCAGGATAGGTCTTCTCTGGTCTTGTGGTCTCAGGGTAGGTCCTCTCTGGCCTTGTGGTCTCAGGGTAGGTCCTCTCTGGCCTGGTGGTGTAGGTCTCTGGGGTTGTTGTAGAAGAGGGTGTTGTCACCTTCCTGGGTGTTTTGTATGTTGTTGTTTCAGTCTCTGGCTTGGTAGTTTCAGGATAGGTCTTCTCTGGCCTGGTGGTTTCAGCTGTAGTCCCGATGGTTGTTGTTGTTGTTATTTCAGGTTGCGTTGTAACAACTACAGCTGTTGTACTTACAACAACTGGAGTTGTGGTAGTGCAGAAGTTCTCACACCTCAGGTTGTTGTTGTAACAGTCACAGATATGGCACTCATCAATCTGCTTCTTTTCACCAGGCTAGTGTGACAAAAGTTTAAAAACCAGTTTGTTAAATGATTCAATCTTTTTCAATGCAATTGAAACTGACGATGGACAAATACGGACTCTGTTGTCATTTTCATGATAAGATGCATGTTGGTTTATATTTGAATTTACAGAAAAAAATGTTGCAGGTAAAATGGTTGCAGGTAAAAAGATTTTGGTAAGCAGCAACTTTTACGTATTGTAAGATATAAATTACGATCATTTCAGTGTACTGATTTTGATTTGCCGTGATGGGGGATATCTGTACATACCGGAATGACAGTGCCATCGGCTGTAACACATGGACATTCAGTTGGCTTCACACAGTGGTCACGATCCTTACGGATGTATCCCTTGGGACATGGTGGACATTCACCACATGTAGGCACACAGGTACTTCTGTCGCCGTACATACACTGTGTGATCTTAAACCTGAAAGGGAACTTGGCTTTAGAAGGTGGTGTATGTCAATGGCTGCTCCAGCTAAAATAAATGCAAGACAATTTTAGACCAATAATAAAACGAAAGTATCATTTTAGATCAGGAAATCAAATATATGGAAATTACAAACCTGTAGCAATGACAGGTCTCCTCACATCGGAATGAGCAGCCATATACCTTCCTGTCACATGCAGCTGCGGGGTACGAAACATAGTACATAATTTATAAATCTGAAAGCATTGTAGGGCTGCAAGAAAGTAGCAACTGCCAATTAATTATAATACCGTTAAAGACCGTGCTTACTGATTTGTACTTCCATTGAATATTTGTCATGGCGATGAGAAGTAGCTATGAAACATCAAGAAATTATAATGTCACTCACTTGTAAGTTCCGTAGTATACCAAGGTTTGGTTGTTTCAGGAACAGTTGTCCACACAGGTTTAGTTGTCTCTGGGTAGGTCTTCTCTGGCTCAGTAACCTCAGGCATGGTTGTCTCAGGGTAGGTCCTCTCTGGCTCAGTAACCTCTGGCTTGGTTGTCTCTGGGTAGGTCTTCTCTGGCTCTGTAACGTCTGGACGTGTAGTGCGAGATGTACCTGGAGTTGTTACCTTTCTTGTAGGCTTAGTTGTTTCTGGCTCAGTAACCTCTGGCTTGGTTGTCTCTGGGTAGGTCTTCTCTGGCTCAGTAACCTCAGGCTTGGTTGTCTCTGGGTAGGTCTTTTCTGGCTCAGTAACCTCAGGCCTGGTGGTCTCAGGGTAGGTCCTCTCTGGAGTGGTTGTACTTGGAGTAGTTGCTAAAAAGTGGAATATATACAGTGAACATCCAAGATACAGATCATAGACCAGACCTTTACATACATCAGAAAACCATACTTCTTTTATTTTAAAATCATCTGACTTGCGATGCATAATAGTATATTCAAGTATTAATCACATAGACTGAGTTCAAATGATTGGGAAAATTGGTAAAACATTTTGTAACTTCATAATACCAGAATTATTGTACTCTTAATAGAATGATATTTTCAGGAGTTTAATATTCTTGTAAATTATTTTCAATAGCTTACGGAAAGCTTTATCCTTACTTTTAGAGCAGATGGCAACATTAGTGTTGTAGCTTAGCAGACGCACTTCATAGTTGTAACAGTCTGGACTGATTTCTCTATAAATAGTTATTTACCCTCTGTTGTCACTGATGGGGTTGGTGTTGTTGGTCTTGTAGCTGGTGTTGTAACTGGTGTTGTGACCTTTCGAGGTGTCTTGTATCCAGTGGTGATTGCCCGTGTTGTTGTTGTTGTTGCCTCAGTTGTAGCCGAGGTCGTGCACAAGTTAGAACATGTCAAGGTGTTCTGGTAACATGTGCATACCTGGCATTGGCCGACCTTAATTGTCTTGCCCGCCTAAAAATTACAATGAAACAGAAAGAGATGAATGAGATGAGAAAATTTCCTGTAGCTGCATCTCATTTCACTCAATAAATCGAGTGTTAAGTTTCATAGCACCATTCTAGCAACTCACCGGTACAACAACGTTTCCATCGGTGATACAGTCACACTCTGTAGGCTTGACACAGTGATACAGGTCCTTTCTGATGTAGCCTTTGGGACATGCAGGGCATTCACCACATGTTGGCACACAGGCCTTGGGGTCATTGCGCTGGCACTGTGTGATCTTGTATCTGTAGCAGTGACAGGTTTCCTCACAACGGAAGGAACAGCCGTATACCTTCTTCGCACATTCAGCTGGAAAGAAAAACATTAATAAATTTTAAAACCTGACCTAGCTGAAAATGCAGGAGGTACACCTGGAATGTGTAATGTAGTTAATTATGCACATTTGTAAATGCTCAAGTCTGCCAATGTTAAAAATATCTTTTTAAATCAAATTTAAAAATACATACATTGGAGAACACATATTAATCTGCCGTTAGAACAGAGAAAAATGTGACTGAGTTCACAGTACGTATTCTAAATTCCTTGAACTAAAAAAAATTAAGTACGGGTACTGCAAATTAGGTACCAGTAGTCCTTGGCTTCAGATTTAACAGCTCAAACTTCAAAACCTGACGAAGTCCTTTTTACAGATATTCCGACATAAAGAACAATATCTGAATGTATATTATACCAGGCATAGAAAAGGAGGTCAACATACTTGTAACAGTGGTGTATGTTTGAGGGAGTGTTGTAGAGACACGTGGTGTTGTCGTAAACATCTCAGGCTTAGTTGTGTATGTCTCAGGCTTGGTGGTGTAGGTCTCGGGCTTGGTGGTGTATGTCTCAGGCTTGGTGGTGTAGGTCTCAGGCTTGGTGGTGTATGTCTCAGGCCTGGTAGTGAACACCTCTGGGCGTGTTGTAGAGACACGTGGTGTTGTCGTAAACATCTCAGGCTTAGTTGTGTATGTCTCAGGCTTGGTGGTGTATGACTCAGGCTTGGTAGTGTATGTCTCAGGCCTGGTGGTGTACGTCTCAGGCTTGGTAGTGTATGTCTCAGGCTTGGTAGTGTATGACTCAGGCCTGGTGGTGTATGTCTCAGGCCTGGTGGTGTATGTCTCAGGCCTGGTGGTGTATGTCTCAGGCTTGGTAGTGTACGTCTCAGGCTTGGTGGTGTACGTCTCAGGCTTGGTGGTGTATGTCTCAGGCCTGGTGGTGTATGTCTCAGGCTTGGTGGTGTATGTCTCAGGCTTGGTGGTGTATGTCTCAGGCTTGGTGGTGTACGTCTCAGGCTTGGTGGTGTATGTCTCAGGCTTGGTGGTGTATGTCTCTGGCTTGGTGGTGTGCGTCTCAGGCTTGGTGGTGTATGTCTCAGGCTTGGTGGTGTATGTCTCAGGCTTGGTGGTGTATGTCTCAGGCTTGGTGGTGTATGTCTCTCGGGTTGTCGTGACAGATGGTGTTGTAACCTTCCTCGGAGTTTTGTATGTTGTTGTTTCAGTCTCAGGCCTGGTAGTGTAGGTCTCGGGCTTGGTAGTGTAGGTCTCGGGCTTGGTGGTAAAGGACTCGGGCCCAGTTGTGGTATAGGACTCAGGCCTAGTAGTGTACGTTTCGGGCTTGGTGGTGTATGTTTCTGATGTAGTTGTAACTGTAGAAGTAGTAACTTCCTTTGTTGTTTGATAGCCGGTTGTTTCAACCATAGTTGTTGTAGTTACACTCGATGTTGAGCAGAAGTTGGAACATACAAGCTTGTTATTGTAGCACCTGCAAATTGTGCAATCATCGATTTTCTTGGTCTCTCCTGCCTGTATAAACAAATAAGTGCTGTTGTTATATAGAATGCTGCTAATAACAAATACTGTGTAACCCATCAGTCAATTGAGCAATCAACCATTAGGATATAGGATATTAGGATACAGGAAAAATCCAAGATAAAATAAGCTTAGGTTAAATATGTGATGCATTGAAGATTTGGTGTGTTATGCATGTCAATTAATAAAAAAAGTCCATAGATTTACAACTTTGAGAAAGGTAATTCTATCTTAAAGGTTCTTCAGTTTGGAATTATATTGATTGCCTGACTATCATACCTTGACAACAACACCTCCATCAGTGATACAGTCACACTCTGTCGGCTTGATGCAGTGGTACTGGTCCTTGCGGAGATACCCTGGAGGACACTGTGGGCACTCTCCACAAGTTGGAACACAGGTGCTTCTATCGCCATACTGGCACTGGGTGATCTTGTACCTATAGCAGTGACATGTCTCGTCACACTTGAAGGCACATCCGTACACCCTCTTCTTACATTGTGCTGAAAGTAAGCAAATAAAAAAGGTTAAGGTACACCACCATACTAATTGAATTATTCAAAAATTGCAGGAAATTTTGCAACGTATCCAATCCTTTTGGTACATTATACTACCGTACTAAAGCAACTTACTTGTGGCTATAGGCTTCGACGTAGTATATTCTGGTGCAGTCGTTTCAGGCTTCGTGGTGTATGTCTCTGGAGTTGTTGTAGAAGACGGAGTTGTAACCTTCCTTGGTGTTTTGTATGTTGTTGCACCAGACTCTGGCCTGGTGGTCTCAGGATAGGTCTTCTCCGGTCTGGTGGTCTCAGGGTAGGTCTTCTCTGGCCTAGTGGTCTCAGGGTAGGTCTTCTCTGGCCTGGTAGTCTCAGGGTATGTCTTCTCTGGCCTGGTGGTCTCAGGGTATGTCTTCTCTGGCCTGGTGGTCTCAGGGTATGTCCTCTCTGGCTTGGTAGTCTCTGGGTAGGTCTTCTCTGGCCTAGTGGTCTCAGGGTAGGTCCTCTCTGGTCTGGTGGTCTCAGGGTAGGTCCTCTCTGGCCTGGTGGTCTCAGGGTAGGTCTTCTCTGGCTTTGTGGTCTCAGGATAGGTCCTCTCTGGCCTTGTGGTCTCAGGGTAGGTCCTCTCTGGCCTTGTTGTCTCAGGGTAGGTCTGTTCTGGAATTGTTGTCTCAGGTCTGGTAGTTGTCCCTGCATTTACAATCGTGAGATTTAGTATGATATATTTGGTATCAATGCAAAGAAACAAAAACAAAAGGAGACTGATTCAATGACTGTAAGAAATTTAGTCATCTTGCCTGGTGTTGTAACCTTCCTTGGCGTACGGTACGTGGTTGTCTCAGGATACGTTTCCTCTGGTGTTGTTGTAGTAACAACTGTGGTTGTTGACCTAACAGTTGTTGGTTTCACTGTGGTCATAGCTGTAAAGGATATCGAAGGAGAACAGGCTTCCTTTTAGTTTACAGTGGCATGATTATGATTAACAGCATCTAAATTTAGTATATTACTTTGAATTAGTATTTGAAGAACTTAGCAACTGATTTATTGTAAAGAAAATGCCAACCCCTTTATCATATCTACACAGCACATTTGGACTGAGAGGAACACAAAAGTAACTTACTGCATTCTGCTGGCTCTACACAATGGACTCCGTCAAGAACCTTTCCTTCAGGGCAGCGACAACCCTCAACACATGGATGGCTACAGCGTCCTGCCACCTTCTTCTGGTAGTAGGCAGTGTTCTCACAGGTCTCGGGGCATCCAGAACCACATGGGTCATAGACGAATGTTGGTGGGCACGTAATTGCTGAAAATGAATTTAAGATAATCATGATACAATGTGAAGTACCCAACATGGCACCAATTATTTGCTTAATTCACAAGAAACTGTTATTTAAGAAACTGGACAAGTTTTGAAAACTGTCAAATCTTAAAGATTTATCGATTTAAGCCTATAGAATTCCTTGTGTATCTCATTACAGGGATGTCTAACATTTATCGACGTATTTGGTAAATTCTGCCAAATGTAACATTGTATTTGAATTGACTGCATATGGCTTCTTATTATTTTCCAAAATTGTTTGCACTGGTATATGACAGCATCTTGTATGACTGCCTCAGCCTAAACATTACAGGCTATATGTACTTACGACAGAGTTTCTCGCTTCTCCAGGACAGACAGATGCCACAGCGTTGGCATGCGGCAGCATAAGCAGTCAGAGTGTCACAGAGTTCCTTTCCTTGACAGACATCATCTCTACAGGCCTAAAATACAAAGAGGTAATGTTATAATGAACTCGTGAAAGCTTACTGGCTCAGCAATCTTCCCAGGATTTGTTTAACAACTTGGTCAACAGGCACTGATTTTTTTATAATACATGCACACTAAAATGGGAAATCATGGTATCATTTAGTCACATGTAAAGACAATGTAAGTCTTGATACCAGCTAGACTTGCCATGGTCTGAGCATTAAAAAAAAGTAGTCACGGCAACTTCTTGCTGAACACGAAAGCAAAATTTGATGAGGATAAATTCTCACATTACTGGTTCATACAAAAATTAGATGACACGATGAATGATAGTGATGATATTTGGGTGAAGTATAAAACCTATGAGACATACGCCCTTGAAGCTCTTGACATTGACGTAGGAGTGGCAAGGTGCGAATACGGAGGAATGCAGGATGTCGCACACGGAGGTTTGCACAGGTGAGCAGGTTGGTGTGGGTGGTGGGAGTGTCTGACAGTGCTTGGCGCCATCATCGATGAACCAGGAGCGGCCAAACTTGTTGAAGTCATTGACCTTGTACTGTCCATTGCAGACACCTTGACAATGATAAGAGCAATTTGCATCAGGTTTTTATATTAATATACTTCATTTAATTTGTCATATTTAACAAAGGATTGGGGCAGTTTCCATGATATCTAGACAACGTTCTTGCCAGTGTCCGTCTATCCATCATTTGACGGAATTTACAGCTCATGACGGACAAAATATGGCTAATCTGTCATATTTGACGGACAAATCGGCGTGTACCTGTCTGTATCTGTATCGGTAGAACTGCCCTTCTGCGTAACACACCGAAGATTTGTTGTGAAGATTTAAAACGAGATGTCATTGAACTAAGCTTAGTCTACCAGCGAAATTTGCCCCTCAAAATGCAGGAAATACCCAGGGGCATTTCATATGGTTAAGATTTCACAATGTTCCCAGTACCCCTTAGGATCTCTGGCACAACACTTCAAACAAAATTGAGATGTCAGAAAAAAATTAGGCTGACTAGATCACAGTGTCTGCAATTCTAGGGTCGTCCACAACTGTATTTTCACAACGTTATGTCCTTACCACAAAGACCCTCGGTGTTCGAGCCATATCGGTCGTTGGGAACAGTTACACTGAATCCATGGCAAGAGTCGTCGTACTGCACCTCCAGACCATAGCGTTCATAGTTCAGGATCAGACGGAGACCCACGCAGCGCACAGTCATGGCGCCATTGTTGATGGGGATGGTGACACCTCTGGGCACCCGACGGGCAGAGCCATCAATGATCACCTTTGGGTAAAAATGAAGTATTCATTAGCCACACAGCAATATAATTGTTTAGTTGGTATTGTCTGAGGGCTAACTTCATTTCAGACGAGTAGCATTTAAAAGATTTCAACCGTAAGTAATACACATGTGGCAGTTAAGATGAGTGTCATTTTACATTACATGTGTGTTAACATTACCCCTGTTGTTTTAAAGAACAATCAACTCTTATGAGTCAATGAGGTAACCAATACAGGTACATAATTCTAACAGGACTAAGTATAATTTCGGACACAATTTCAGAAAACCTTTACCATTGGCTTTGTTCCTGGAGACGTTTGTAATTGCAACCTAAATATTCATCCTTTAATACATCATACGTCTAAATATTAATTCATTTGGTTCAATCTATTTTGAAACGATTAGGGTTGTAGTGGCATCAAAGTGTTAGCCCATTACTATGACGGGGCATGTTTTCTACATTACACAGTGGCTTTACCTTGAATCCTGCCATGAGTTCCACCTGAGTCTTCCCACAGAGCACCTTCACAGACCTGGTGCAGGTGTAGCTCGGGTTATTTGGACAAGCCTCATTGCTGATGTAGACCTCGTAGTCTGGATTCTTGGCGTTGTGACGAGAGAGCAGATGTGTGCAACGTCCACAGTACTTGTAGGAGCGACTGTCAAAGGTGCTGAAGTGGCATTCACCATACCCGAAGCAGAAACCTGTCACAAAAGCAATATTCAGATATTAATTTATCATATCAGAACTATATACAGAATAGCTTGGGCATAGAAACGTCCTTTGGATAATTTAAATCTCACAAGAAACTCAGTAGAAATTAAGAAGGAAGTAGACTTAAACAAACCCTGAGATAGATTCGAAAATACTTACATTCCTTGGGAGGTGTAGTAGGTGTGATGGTAGTGGTGATTTGTGGTGTTGTGGTAACCTCTGAAAAGGACAGAATTATCAGCATCACGTACCTATTATAATTATAGGTGAAAATCCTTTTCACAAATTCTGAAGATATCAAAATTGGACATAGTTTCGGAAAGAATGATTACAGTATAACATTTCAGTTGAGTTGAAAAAAGCCATAATGATTACATCCATGGCAATACTTACCACATTCCCTCACACACCGATCATCCTGCAACATGTATCCCTCCTTGCATTCACATGTTTCTATGTTTTGGCGAGAACAGGACATGAAGCGATGGTAGTCCTTATTGGAGCACGTCAGAGGACAAGCACTTCCGGTAGGATTGAAGGTCTTTCCCTCCTCACAATCCATTGCTGCAGAAAACAACAAGCGGAGACATCCGTGAAAAGTTTATTCAACAACATTGACATGCTGATGTAAGCACGGTGACTAAGTACTTGCAGATATGGTTTAACCTTTGGAAATTGTTTAATAATTCATATGTGTTATCTTCTCATCACATTTATCATTCGGAACTATCTGTATACCGTATCACGTCTTATTGTCAAAAGTGTGATGTGTACTTAGGGCCAGTTTACACCCTGCAAAAAATTATATGTCCTATGGCGACCTACGCATAGCGCCGCGCGGCGCGTGTCGTAGGACAATTTTTTGGAGCCTGACACCATTGCGGTCAAATTTGGGCCCAAATGTCCCAATTTTACTGAGCGGAATCATGATCGATCTGACGTAATGCGAACCGAACGTTAGATTGATTTGGAGTCACCCGCGGTAAACCTCCTTTTTCCTCTAACAGAAGAAAATGTTCACAAGTATAAAACAATGTCTGTACAGTACATCTATGCCACTATTTTGTGGATGTTTATCATTAGTAACTATTAGTAAGCTACTAATTGGTAGAGTGCTCGCTTTGAAACCGGGAGGTCGTGAGTTCAAACCCCGGCCGGGTCATAACAAAGACTTTAAAAATGGTACACACTTCTTTCTCTGCTTAGCACTTAGCACATATGAGAAAGAGTGTGGGAAGTTCAAACACACAGCACTACCAGCGGCCTAGCCCCCTGCTGTAGTGCCTTGCACAACTATGTGTCGCCCAAGGGCGATATGGTAATGGACATGGGCACCAAACCCATATGCTCTGCATAGAGCACGGGTGGACCTTTTCAGCTACTGCCATCATTGTTGGTGGCCTTGAAGATCGTAATTCCTGTTTACCCCTTCTCCTATCCACGGGGCATGACATGCGTGCAATCATGGTTTATCAAACGCAACAAACTCAAAATTCAATTTACCTCAAAAACTACCTTACAGACAGTGACAATTCACTTTGCAATACTCACGACAGAACTTCTTAGTCCTCCAAGACAAGACGACACCACAGCTGCGACATTCTGCAGCGTAAGCCGCGAGCACACTGCAGGTGTTGTTAGCGTAACACTCATCATATAGGCAGGCATCGTAGTACTTCATCACGTCAACAACGTTGTGGCAAGCTGCAAAAGCCTGTAAGAAATGACCAAACTTCATTATACTCCTTTCAAAATACCTTGTATCACTAGCCAACTAGGTGGGAGCGGACGTAAACTTACGAGAATGGTACACAGCAGGCTATTGTATCACAGTATTGAAATCACATACTCCTTTCATGTGGGAATATGATCAACAAGATGATGAAAAAAGCAAATGTTGTAAAGCTGTATTTCATTTGTCGTAAAGCTCTGCATGCTTTAAGTTTGCAAAAGGAAACAGATAACAATGTGTCAGTTACAGTGCTGGGTATATAGCCTTACCTGCCACATCATACAATTTTGCCAAGTGCATCTAGAAACTCTCTCTTTCGGAAATCACCTTTACGACATTTTTAAATATATCTAGAATCTAGATTGGCAGGGAATTTGCAAGCTTTATCCTGGGAATTTACTGAAAATGCATGCTTACATTAGTCCACAGAATGTTGCAGATGGATTCGTCACGTTTAGGACATGGTGTGACTGGCTTGATTTCGTTACAGGCGATGGACTTCCTCTCCACCAGCCAATCCCGTCCGAATGCTACAACGTTCTTCGTGACGCTGCCATCACGGAGGGTGAAGTCATCCGACTTGTCCTGATTACAAATACCTGTAAAAACAATAGACTGACACTTGTCATTTGTTGCCTACATGTTTGTGATACTTTAAGCCCCTGTCACTCACTCAGAACCTTCCGCCGAACACGAGCCTACCAAGGGTGGCTTAAGTACGGGAGCAGCCTGACCGGACTAATGCCTCGCCTACCTTTCTTTCCGTATGAATCAAATTTGAGTTGAATTTGAGTCAAATTTTAATGCCAATCTCGCCCCAACCTACTCCCCAACACCAGTTGGCCCAGCCGACATTGCTCCCGACCTACTCCTAACCATAGTTGGGAGTAGTTCGGCTGGTGTCCGGGAGGCCATTTTCGGCTATGTGATATTTGAAGATCAATGAATTTGAAAGATTTAAAAACAATTATCCTATCTATATCTGATGCCAAAGAAATGAATGCTCACCGCACAAGCCTTCAGTCTTGCCGATGTAGAAGTTGGAGATGAGGACATTGAACGCCTTGTTGACGCAGTCATATTTAGCCTCCAGGCCAACTGCCTTCACTGTGGCCACCAGCTGGAAGCCAACCCTCTCCACCACAATGCCGTTGTATACGAATGGACATGTACTGGTGACTTGGTGGTATTTGCCATTGGACAATACCTGGCAGTGACAAGTATAAACAATTGTGTTGAAACAGTTGTTTTAACAACTAATCACAAAGACATGCTAGTAAGTTAAATTGTGTTTACAAAAAAATGAATGGGCTCGAATGTGTCAATATGTTAATTGACATGTAAATTTATAAAAAAAATTTACTTGTGAAAATAGAAAATTTTGGTGCGTGTAAGCACAAGAAATTAGTCAGTTGAACCATTTTTTTAAATTTCAAATTACCTTGTAACCAGCCTCCATCTTGATCTCGCAGTCCCTGTAGCGTACAATCAGAGCTACTGGACATGTGGTTCCAGGGAAGCCGCATTCATCAAGAACTGTCATCACTTCGAACTCCTGTCAAAGGCATGAACAATAGTAAGAAATCAAGTAATCAGCTTAGTTATATTGATTATAAGAATCATCTCATCGGTAGTGTATCATTTTCATGTCAAGAAGAAAAACATCTAAATACAGAAATCAACAGGGAAAAACAGATACCCAGTAATAGATTTCTACTTTGAACACAAAAGACGTACCTGTTTGCCCATATCCCTTGTCAGAACGTAAGTACACCTGCCATCAAAGTTGTAGTGACAGCTGTCATAGCTGACGAAGTGGCCACACTTGCCATAACCATAACAGAAACCTGTAAAACACAGGTTAAGGAGAACTGTAAATACTATTCATTGATATGTGAAATATTGAAGTATTGAAAATCCATAATCATACATGATTATGCTCCCTGAAATCGGCCACACATAATCTTTAATTATTGCAGTAACGAATCATTTGCTACTTTGCAAATTGATATTATGTCCACACATTGACTTTACACTATTACTGTACAACATTCAAATGTATGTCATTGATACCCTGTTGCACAATTTGCAATGTAGCATCATGTATAGTGTTTGTAATTTGTGACACATTGCACCACACTGGCACAGCATCTGATGAACCCTATTGATACTCACACTTGTCTTCATGAGGTGGTCTTGTAGTCTTGGTGGTGGTGGTCGTGGCCAGTGTTGTTGTTTTTGCTGTTGTTGTTGTTGTTGTAACGGTTGTGGCAGTTGGTTCAGTTACAGGTGTGGTGGTGGTCACTTGACAGATGTCTCTGCAGACCATCTTGTTTGCTTCGCAAGAGCACTGCATACACTTGCCCTCCATCCATTTGGTGTTGGGCTGAAAAGATCAAATGCGAAAGGACTCAGAATAGGGAGGTAAAAAGGTGAAGCAGAATGATGAAAACATACCCTTTAATTCCTGAAAGTCTTATATCATTTCAAAATAGATCATAACCAACTGAAATAATATTTGTGAGTATATGATATATCAAAGGATGACTAATATGTAGGTTGCAGAATTCTTCAGAATTGGCTTCGAAAAACATACCATTAGTTACTATGGAAGGAGGCAAAGTGGTCAGAAGTCACTTTCCTAATAGTTTTCTATTTCATAAGCTTGGATAACTACTGTCAGTTTGTACAAATTTTCCTTGTGTTAGTGTTACATTCCTACCTGTACAACTGTTCCATTCTCCAGGCGGCAATCACAGTCCACTTCCCGAACACATTCATTGGAGGAGATGAGGCAGTAGCCCTTTGGACACTTTCTGTGGTATCCGCACTGAGGAACACAGGTCTCGTCGTGACCGTACTTACACTCGGTGACAGACTGGCGCATGCTGTGGCACATGTCGTAACAGCTGAAGGCGCAAGGGTCGTACATGTCGTCTGGGCACTCAGCTAAAAAGAAAGAAACAAGTAGATTTAATATGCTTAAGGATTGGCAAAACAGATGACTATCACCTCTTCAAAGATGTCAAACCTAACACCAGTAAGGTTTGAACCACTCACACAAGGAAGGACCCCTGCACTTTTCGACATGTAGCGGGATAAACGTGCATGGGGTGTGGCGCTCCTTAAACACAGGACCTACAGCTTTGAGTCCTATTTGAGAGGGCGTCCCTAACCGAAGTTACGTATTCATTTACACCCGAGTCAACGGAGAAATTAGATGTAAAGTGTCTTTTCCAAGGAAACAGCAATGGGGGTCTGACAAAACTTTCGGTTTCTACGTCAACCACCCTAGCCACAAAACCGCCTCCCAACCCTATTTATTACATTTCTGTCTAAAAGACGGGCTACCTACATTTGCACATGTCACTTACTCTTAAACTACTCAGTATAATATTTACAACAGCCTATATCATTGTTATAATTCGTGGGCTTTCAGATGAACATTGTTTAGCGAACTGACGATGCAAAGACTTACTGGTTACTGCTGGTGTTGTCTTTGATGATGTGTAAATAATCTTTGGTGTGGTGGTCCTCATGATCTCAGGAGTTGTCTCGGGGTTGGTTGTGTAAATCTCAGGCTTTGTAGTGTATTCTGGACGTGTCGTAGAGGAAGGAGTTGTAACCTTCCTTGGTGTTTTGTATGTTGTTGTTGTGTATATCTCTGGTTTTGTGGTTTCAGGGTATGTCTTCTCTCGCCTAGTGGTCTCAGGGTAGGTCCTCTCTGGCCTGGTGGTCTCAGGGTAGGTCCTTTCTGGCCTGGTGGTCTCAGGGTAGGTCCTCTCTGGCTTGGTGGTCTCAGGGTAGGTCTTCTCTGGCCTTGTAGTCTCAGGGTAGGTTCTCTCTGGTCTGGTGGTTTCAGGATATGTCTTTTCTGGCCTGGTGGTCTCAGGATATGTCTTCTCTGGTCTTGTTGTCTCAGGGTATGTCCTCTCTGGCCTTGTTGTCTCGGGGTAGGTCTTCTCTGGCCTGGTAGTCTCAGGGTATGTCTGCTCTGGCCTGGTAGTGAATGTCTCTGTAGTTGTAGATGAAGGAGTTGTCACCTTTCTTGGTGTTTTGTATGTTGTTTCAGTTTCTGGCTTGGTCGTCTCAGGGTAGGTCTTCTCTGGCCTGGTGGTCTCAGGGTAGGTCCTCTCTGGCCTGGTGGTCTCAGGGTATGTCCTCTCTGGCTTGGTGGTGTCGGGGTAGGTCTGCTCTGGCCTGGTAGTGAATGTCTCTGTAGTTGTAGATGAAGGAGTTGTCACCTTTCTTGGTGTTTTGTATGTTGTTTCAGTTTCTGGCTTGGTCGTCTCAGGGTAGGTCTTCTCGGGCCTAGTGGTCTCGGCTGTACTACCAGTGGTTGTTGTTGTTGTTGGCGTGGTTACAACTATGGTCGTTGTACTCACCACAACTGGAGTTGTGGTAGTGCAGAAGTTCTCACATCTCAGGTTGTTGTTGTAACAGTCACAGATATGGCATTCATCAATCTGCTTCTTTTCACCAGGCTGTTAAGAAATAATTAGACGTTTTAGTGGCAAAACATAGGTAGAAAAGATTTTTCATAAACCAGTGGGAAGCAACGCATGATGATCACGGCGATTGCTGAAACTGAATCCTGAATGGTAAAAAACCCTGCACACTCTTTAACAACAACCAAAACCATGAATCGTAACCCACTGCCAGAGGAGCGGGTCATCCACATATCTTATTTCAGCAATCAAAAACACAGATAGAACTTTTAAAAAACAATGCGCATCATCAGGACCCCAATAGCAAATCATATACCGAGACCCCAAAAAATCCGTCCCGCCCACGGTAAGTTACATCTATGAACACGCAAACATCGACCAAGAACAGAACCCTTCTGCAGAAGGATGTCTCCTTCCCCTGGGGACTATGCAAAAATAAGTACATGGTCACCTAAAAGTTGGTTTCAACTCTAAGTTTCTTCAAGCAGTTCCCGACCAAATTTTCCCTTAATATAGACGTAACCGATTTTGTTTTGTCAAAAGTAATCATGACAGCATATTTTTTATAATTATTATTAATCATTGTTGCAACAAAATATAGAATACAACGACATACCGGAATGACAGTTCCATCAGCTGTAACACATGGGCATTCAGTTGGCTTCACACAGTGGTCACGGTCCTTCCTGATGTATCCCTTGGGACATGGTGGACATTCACCACATGTAGGCACACAGGTACTTCTGTCGCCGTACATACATTGGGTGATCTTAAACCTGAAATGTATCAGTACGATAACTTGATATTTACATTTTAACATTGTAAAACTGATATTATTAAACTTTATATTTATAAGTATATATAGAGAGCTTTCTTGACACAACAAAAGTGCTTCGACTTTCGTAAGGTCTATAACTAAACATTCAGGAAGGCACGTTATTATTTTTTTCGTACAATACCTATCAAGACTAATTAACATAATTATGAACTGCTTCCATCTTTGTTAAGAAAGCAATAGAATAGGAAGAAAGCAGAAAAAATGTCATTACAGACAGCCAAAACTGATCAATTTCTTTCTTAGAAAAAGAAACAAAATTCGTATTCATTATGGAATTTAACAAACAATGTAAGATCCATTTGTTCATAGATCTACAACTGCCTCCTAAAGAAGCGAGAAGTTCCCCATAGTCTGCATAGTTGTAATAAGATATTTGTTTTTATGGCTTCACCACACCACGAAGTGGTGTGGTGAAACCATATTGCTTTTTCTGATGTTTCTCCTCCTCCTTCTTCTTCTCCTCCTGCCATATCTTTAAATGGATTCAGCTTCTTCATTTTGGGGCCTAAGGATCTGAAATTTGGTATGGAGGTACAGTGGGCAAATACCCTTAGGCGTTTTTTAAATTTTTGTGATACAGGCTTTTAGAATGGTTTTATTTGAGTTTTTTGGCTGTATTATAGCAAATGTATTACTGTGTCAGTGGGCAGTGTTAACCACATTTGGCATGAGTCATCACAATGGAATGCAGGGCATCAACCAATAGGCATGCAGCTTTCCTCTCTTCTTCTTGCTGATTGGCTGTTGGGATTTAACTTGATTAACACCTGCACAGTAAGCATTTCCATACTGACAGTATGTCTGTATTCTAAGTGTTTTGGTAGGTATTCAAGCTTTCCTGCTCCAGCATTGGAATGCCGGGCATGGAC